GAAGCCTGCTTCTCCCTCTCCCACTCCCCCTGCTTGTGTTCCCTCTCTCGCTCTGTCTCTCTCTGTCAAATAAATAAATAAAATCTTTAAAAAAATTAAAAAATAAAAATAAAATCATTTAAATGATTGGGTTTTAGCCCTAGTCTTCCTCATGCCTACAATAAAGAAAATGAACTATTAAATTGGAGGTAATTTTTGTCTCTTAGCTACCTCACATTCACAAATGAGCACAGTTTTTAAAAAGTTTCTGTGCCTTCTGGAAATGAAATCCTAGAATTGTGAAGAATGGGTGTCAGGTAACATTTTCTTTGTAATTCTGAGCCAGCCACCAGTGGAGAGAAGGGACATTTCTAGGGAGGCCCCGTGGCTGGCACAGGGCCTAGGAGCCCAGCCTTCGGGGAGTCATGGCCTGGCCCTCCACGCACTCACTAGACGGATTTGGAAGCTTCTGCTGAGGTTGGGCTGGACTTGTCTGAACCAAGGAGATAGGTCATACTAACCAAACTCACCGAGACTGATGTATACACAAGAGTGCTCGTTTCTAAAATGAGGTACGTGCATGTTCCAGAAGTTCCCTCTGACTTAGTAGCCAATTGGCTGTTACTCCCCCAGGAGGTGGGTCTACATGGAAAGCCAGACCCATCACTGGAGAGTTTTCGGTGGGCCTGGAATCCGTGTGGGGAGTGATTTGGACAACCGAAATGGCTGACAACAGCTAGACCCACTGTAGGAAGCCCTTGCCTGCTTTGGGGGTGGGGGTTGCTGGCTACGTCTCTTCCTCTTTCACTCATTTTCTTGATGTCCCTCCTGCAGATAGAGTTTTTCCTCTGGCTCTAAAAATTACCGCCAGGGGGCGCCTGGGTGGCTCAGTTGGTTAAGCAACTGCCTTCGGCTCAGGTCATGATCCTGGAGTCCTGGGATTGAGTCCCGCATCGGGCTCCCTGCTCGGCGGGGAGTCTGCCTCTCCCTCTGACCCTCTTCCCTCTCGTGCTCTCTGTCTCTCATTCTCTCTCTCTCTCAAATACATAAATAAAATCTTTAAAAAAAATAAAAATTAAAATTAAAAAAATAAAAATTACCGCCAGTCTGGCTATAGTCAAGTGCTTGAATTTCCTGGTCCTGCCCTGAGAGATATTTCATCTTTTTGGTAACTTCTGTACCTATTGACTCTCATTCATCAGGCAGTATTTCTTTTATTTTAATTCTCAGAACTTGGGGGTACCTTGCAGTCACCCTGATATATCGCCTGAAACGTTTTCAGTGCAGAATCAATTCATTAGGAAAACTTGCGATTTGAGCCATAAGTATCTTCTTTGTATTGTAAGAGGACCACTTTATCATTTTCTTCTTTTCTGTCTTTTTTGTGGAAGCTTTAAAAAAAAATGTTAAAGCCCAAACCTCAGAAAATCCATACATCTAGCTTTCCATTTAAAATCTCAAGGCAGGTACTCACTGATAACAGAACTTTCTCCCTTAGTAGTTCTTCCTAAAACAGATAAGCATAATTTAGTTTATACTTTTATTTTGTTTGTTTGTTTGTTTTTAAAAGATTTTATCTATTTATGAGAGAGAGAGAGGGAGAGCACGCACGAACGGGGAGGGACAGAGAGAGGGAGAAGCAGGCTCCGCACTGAGTAGGGAGCCTGATGCGGGGTTCCACCTGACTTGAGCAGACACTTAACTGACTGAGCCACCCAGGCACCCCTATTTATTTATTTTTAAGTACTCTCGACACCCAATGCGGGGCTCAAACTCACGACCCTGAGATCAAGAGTCACATGTTCTACTGACTGAGCCAGCCAGACGCCTGTAGTTTATACCTTTAAAATCAGGTTTCCATTTAGGAAATCTCCCCTTTAATTTCTTCACTCTGTATATGTAAATGTCTGTACGAGGAACCCAGCCCCGAGTTGGGGAAAGAGATTGTGGTTTGGCGGGGAGGGTGCTATATATTTTAGAGTTCACTGTTAAGACCACAGATGGCCTCGGTGGTGTGTGGTGAAGCAGGCCCCTCCAGTCCAGAGTGGAGTGCCCGTGGTTGTGCTGTTTCCTGGAAGCTGCTGAACCAGCATGGCAGTATCTGCTAGGGGCGTCCCCAGCTACGTGGCAGGTCAAGCTGAGAGACGGAGCAAAGCCATTGGAACGGATTTACTTTAAACATGTGTAGATGTTTGATGCAGAATAAGAGGGGCCTACATAGGGCCTGAAACAGAAAGTGGTACCTCTGTGGTCCCAGGGACATTAGGGCTGTAATCCACAGTTTGCCAGGCCAGGGACCATCATTATCACGTTTCCAAGAAACACCAGGGGCTGGCAGGCTGGGCTGAGGGGTTGTCCAGTTGGTCTATTGGTTGGTTTTTTATAAATGCAGAGAAATGGTAGACTTCTTACAGTGCTAACTTTTTCTTCCATTAGTTTCTTTCAAAATCTTTGGGGCCTCCTTATTAGCAGGTGAACAAATAGCAAATAAAATTGACAAGAGTATTCTAAGCACCCAGTTAGGATGACAGCTTATTTTTTCCCCCATGTGTTTCTGTTGTGATTTTCCATTGTAGATGTGATTTACATATATTTTCCCTAGTGTAGATGGCCTTAGTTCATATAAGAAATGTATCCTAGGGGCGCCTGGGTGGCTCAGTCGTTAAGCGTCTGCCTTCGGCTCAGGTCATGATCCCAGAGTCCTGGGATCGAGCCCCGCATCGGGCTCCCTGCTTGGTGGGAAGCCTGCTTCTCCCTCTCCCACTCCCCTCTGCTTGTGTTCCTGCTCTCCCTCTCTCTCTCTCTCTGTCAAATAAATAAATAAAATCTTTAAAAAAAAAAAAAAAAGAAATGTATCCTAATATACCAAGGTATTCTGAAAAACAAAAACAAAAACAAAAAAAACCAAAAACCCACCCCTGGAAACTTGAAGAATGGGCACAAAAGAGACAAATGACTGAGCTAGTTTGAGAACCAGTGGCCAGGCCAGGCGTAAGGGAGACTTAGCTGTGAATGCTGTGATTTGGGAGCCTTTTTGGGTGTTTTCCTTGGAAAGTAACATCTACAGTTACTATCTGCTTTGTATCCTAGAATACCCAGAATTTACTTGTCTAAATTCTTTTCTGAGTGATCAGAATGTAACAAGTGAAGTCGAAGAAGGGTTCTCTGCTTCCGGCAAACTCCATAAAGTCCAAGAGACTCTCTGGGCACCTTCAATTCACGTTGACTCTGCAGCCATTAGCAGATCACTGGACCTAACTCAGTTTGGGTCATTGCTTAGCAGTGTGATCATTTTTTCAGAGTCCCAGGAAGAAGTTAAAACCAGGTTGATTTTTCCTTTGAGAAAGGTAAAAACTCCTGTTTGACATCTTATTTTGATATTTGGATTTTTACCATAGGAGTATCCAACCCTTACGACTTTTTTTGAAGGAGAAATAATCAGCAAAAAACACCCTTTCTTAACGCGGAAGTGGGACGCAGACGAAGACGTTGATCGGAAACACTGGGTGAGTAGATATTTGTCTCCTCTGGGCCCCCCAGGCGCTGCTGGAAAGCCAAGGAACTTAGCTCTCGGGGTCTTATCGCTGTCGCCTGTCCTGTCCACCTGTCCACTGTTCCTTCTCATCTCCTGTATGCGGGGGAGCCCTGTGAAACATACAGCAGTGGCCTCTGTTTTCAGGGTTAGCATGAGGTGGAGATGCAGTTTCTAGAAAGCTGCTTCTCCTGCTGGCATCTCCGTATGGGGAGAGCCCCGGGGGGGCTTCTCACCCAGCTCCAGACTGACACGCACGGTCTCAACTTCAGCATCATCAGGATGCCAGTGAAAATTCCAGCTCCCCCACTTTTAACTGTCAAGTGTGGGATGTGTTCTCACTCATCAGTAGTGAACATTTTGAGACAACTTAGAGTCACTGTCCTCAAGTCTTTTCATTGGCTTTCACACAACTGTATGTCTTCAAAAATCCATTACTCAACCTGTCATAATAGCCTTCTGACTTAGTTGACCATGGCGATGATGAATTTTGGTTTATTTTATTATTATTTTTTTAGTTTTTAGTTTTTTTTTAAGATTTTATCTTTAAGTAATCTCTATATCCAATGTGGGGCTCGAACCTGCAGCCCTGAGATCAAGAGCCACACACTCCACCGACTGAGCTAGCCAGGCGCCCCGATGAATTTTGGTTTAACATTGAAGAAGTCTAACGTGCTCACCCTCTAAACCCATGCGAAGTGATTGCGTCAGTAATGAAGACTCTAGAACTCCTCCTGCTTCCCACTGCCCCTCTCACCTGGCTGTTCAAGCTCTCTCCTGATTCTGGCACAATAGTCCTTGGACAGGACTCCCTATTATAGACCCTCGTCCTAGTTAACCTTACGGTAGATTAGCCGCTTTGCTTGTTAATATTTTCTACTTGAGATAGGAAAGGAACATCTTTCAGATGCTGAGTTTCAATTAATTTAATTTAAATTAATTAATTAAATTTAAACTTGAGCTTTTATTTTTTTATTTTTTTTAAAGATTTTATTTATTTGACAGAGAGAGACACAGCGAGAGAGGGAACACAAGCAGGGCCAGTGGGAGAGGGAGAAGCAGACTTCCTGCCGAGCAGGGAGCCCGATGTGGGACTCGATCCCAGGACCCTGGGATCATGACCTGAGCTGAAGGCAGACGCTTAACGACTGAGCCACCCAGGCGCCCTAAACTTGAGCTTTTAAAACCATTTTTTGTAAGCTACATGTTTTGCCTGTTGTTGCAAATAGACACCGAAAGTCAGTCATTTGTGTGTGTATCTTACGAGGGAATGAACAAGATCTGAGTCTCTTAGGCTGCTCAGTTGGGGAGCTCGAGTGGGGCACGGTGGTGCCGGCATCAGGGAGCAGAGTTGGAGGTCTCCCGGCTGCCATCTGGTCCCACCCTGCCCGATGCCGGCTCCTCCCATGCTGCTCGAAGCCTCACAAGATGTCTCCTTTCTCTCTTGGATGGCCCCAGTGGGAAAGCTCTTCTTGTACTGAACCACAGCCAGTCTCCCATCCAACTTGGTTTTCCATCTCAAATTGGTTCTACAAAAAAAGCAAGGTCTTTGAGACTCAATGAAAAGTCAATTCTAAGCTAGGTCTGCTGCAAATCAAATACCTGGAAACCAACTGTTAGCGTTCCAGACTTCCACCAGAACACCAGAAAATATCTGGTTCTCCTTTGTTAGGCTGAATTGAAATATTTTGAGTGACAGAAGGACAAAGAAGGCCACCCTTGATATGGTAGGATGAGGAGCTTGGCCTCTGGGCCCTTCCTCATTCAGCAGTCCGGTCCCCTTTGCAGTACTCAGTTTCCCATAACTTTCCCAGCCCACTCCAGAGTCCCAGAATCCCATGTGGGATCCCTGTTTGTCAGGGACTCGCAGTGCCTGATACAGGCATGCTCTGGAGATATTGCGGCTTCCGTTCCAGACCACCACAATAAAGTGAATATTGCAATAAAGTGAGTCAAATGAATTTTTTTGGTTTCCCAGTGCATATAAAACTTACGTTTATGTGATACTGTAGTCTATGAAAGGTGCAATAGCATTAGGTCTAAAACAACGATGTACACACCTTAATTTTAAAATACTTTATAACTAGGGCGCCTGGGTGGCTCAGTTGGTTAAGCGACTGCCTTCGGCTCAGGTCATGATCCTGGAGTCCCAGGATCGAGTCCCACATCGCGCTCCCTGCTCAGCGGGGAGTCTGCTTCTCCCTCTGACCCTCTGACCCTCTTCTCTCTCGTGCTCTCTGTCTCTCATTCTCTCTCTCTCTCAAATAAATAAATAAAATCTTTAAAAAAAAAAAGATTAAAATACTTTATAACTAAAAAATGCTCAGCATCCTCTAAGCTTTCAGCAACTCCTAATCTTTTTGCTGGTGGAGGGTCTTGCCTCAGTGTCAGTGGCTGCTGACTGATCTCAGGGGTGGTTGCCGGAGGTTCATTTGGCGGTGGCAATTTCTCAAAATAAGACAACAATGAAGTTGACCACATTGATCAGCTCTTTGTTTCACAAACGATTTCTCTGTAGCACGAGGTGCTGTTTGATAGCATTTTGGCCCCAGTAGAACTTCTTTCCAAATTGGAGTCCATCCTCTCAAACCCTGCTGCTGCTTTATCAACTAGGTTCATGTGATTTTCTAAATCCTTTGTTGTCATTTCAACAGTCCTCACAGCATCTTCACCAGAAGTAGATTTTATCTCAAGAAACCACATTCTTGGCTCATCCATGAGAAGCATCTCCTCATCCGTTCACGTTTTATCATGAGATTGCAGCCATTCGGTCCTGTGTTCAGGCTCCACTTCTGCTTCTAGTTCTCTTGCTGTTTCCACCACATCTCCAGTGACTTCCTCCACTGAAGTCTTGAACCCCTCAAAGTCATCTATAGGGTTGGAATCAACTTCTTCCAAACTCCTGTTCATGTTTATACTTCGACCTCTTCCCACGAATCACAGATATTGCTAATGGCACCTAGAATGATGAATTCTTTCCAGAAGGTCTTCAGTTTACTTTGTCCAGACCCATCAGAGGAGTCACTGTCTATGGCAGCTACAGTCTTATTCAGTGTATTTCTTAAATAAGAAGACTTGAAAGTTGAAATGACTCCTTGATCCACAGGCTGCAGAGTGGATGTTGTGTTGGGCCTGAACACAACATAGATCTCACTGTCCATCTCCATCGGAGCTCTTGGGTGACCAGGTGCATTGTTACGGAACAATAATATATCTTTTTATTATGTTCAGTCAGCTACTGTATAGTACATCATTAGTTTTTGATGTAGTGTTCAGTGATTCATTAGTTGTGTATAACACCCAGTGCTCATCACAACATGTGCCCTCCTTAATATCCATCACCTGGCTACCCCATCCCCCCACCCCCCAAACAGTATTTTGAAAGGAATCTTTTTTTCTGAGAAGTCTCAATGTTGGGCTTTAAATATTGAGTAAATCATGTAAACAGATGTGTTGTCATCCAGACTTTGTTCCATTTGTAGAACATGGGCAGAGTACATTTAGCATAATTCTTAAGGGTCCTAGGATTCTCAGAATGGTCAATGAGCATTGGCTTCAACTTAAAGTCACCAGCTTCATGAGCTCCCTAGCAAGAGAGTCAGCCTGACCTTTGAAGCTTTGAAGCCAGACATTGACTGCTCCTCTCTAGCTATAGAAGTTCTAGGTGGCATCTTCATCCAATACCAAGCGGTTTCATCTATGCTGAAAATCTGTTATTTGGTGTAGTGTAGTTGTTTAGTGTAGAATATTCATTATCTTAATGAAGATCTAGAATCTTCTGGAGAACTTGCTGCAGCTTCTACATCAGCACTTGCTACTTCACCCTGCACATTTGCATTATGGAGACGGCTTCTTTCCTCAATCCTCCTGAACCAACCTCCCTAGCTTCAGACTCTTCTCCTGCAGCTTTCTCACCTCTCAGCCTTCACAGAATTGAAGGGAGTCAGGGCCTTGCTCTGGGTTAGGCTTTGGCTTAAGGGAATGTTGGGGCCAGTTTGACCTCCTCTCCAGACCACTAAACCTTTCTCCACATCAAAGCCTGCTTTGTTATCATTCATGTGTTCACTGGAGTGGCACTTTTCCTTTCCTTCAAGAACTTTTCCTTTGCATTCACAACTTGGCTTACTGGGCCAGGAGGCCTCGCCTTCAGCCCTCTCTCAGCTTCTGAGAGGTCTTCCTCACTAAGCTCAGTCATTTCTAGCTTTTGATTTCAAGTGAGAGACATGGGACTCTTCCTTTCTCTTGAACACACCGAGGCCATGGTGTGGTTATTAATTGGCCTCATTTCAATGTTGCTGTGTCTCAGGGAAGAGGGAGGCCTGAGGAGAAGGAGAGAGATGGGGGAATGGCCAGTCAGTGGAGCAGTGAGAACACAGACATTTATTGATGAAGTTTCCTGTCTTATATGGGGGCAGTTTGTGGTGCCCCAAAACAATGGCATTAGTAACATCAAAGATCACTGATCACAGATCACCATAACAGATATAAGAGTAATGAAAAAGTTTGAAACGTTGCGAGGATTACCAACATGTGACACAGAGACACGAGGTGAACAAATGCTGTTGGAAAAATTGTGCCAGTCGACTTACTCGACACAGGGTTGCCACGAACCTTCAATTTATAAAAAAATGCACTATCTGGGGGCGCCTACGTGGCTCAGTTGGGTAAGCATCCAACTCTTGGTTTCGGCTCAGGTCATGATCTCAGGGTCATGAGATCGAGCCCCACATGGAATTCCACGCTCAGTGTGGAGTCTGCTTGAGTTTCTCTCTCCCTCTCCCTCTGCCACCCTGCCAAATAAATAAATGAATCTTTTTTAAAAAAATGCAGTATCTGCAAAGAGCAATAAAGTGAAGTACAATAAAATCAGGACTGCCTATAAGTTAGAATCAGAGACATTGTTTTTCACCTTCAAGTTTTCCTGAGTGATATTTAAAGCTGGTATCATGGTGGTACCCTAAAGTCAAGATTGTATATACTTAATCCAGTTAGAATAGAGATATACGTGTGACAAATTCCGAGTTAATACCTCTGTATCCTAAACTTTATTTATTTTTTATAAAATAATGCATACTTATTTTTAAATATTTGAGTAAACAGAAAAGCAAAGGGAAAAAGATCATCTAGAATAACAATACCCGAAGTTAAAACAGATATTAACCTTCTTTCTTTCTTTCTTTCTTTTTTTTTTTTTACAAAAATAGGATCATGAAACATAGTTTTGTAACCTATTTCTGGTCTCCTTTTTTAAAAGGACTTAATCATATGTTACCCATTTCCTGTTTCCACTTCACTGGCTGGCCCCAAGCCACGCTCCCGTGTCAGAGGACCCTGCTTTAGTAAACCCCTCTCCCCCTTCGGGGTGATGTGCTGGCTCTAAGTTGTTCTTAATGCCTAGTGTTGATTCACTTATAGAGATCTTCTCTCTAATCCTTCCTGGCTTTGCTTGTGGTAAGGTGTCCTGAGAAAAGGCTCCCGGAATATCATCCGTTCCCAACCCCGGGCCTTTTCCTGGACCACATTAACTAGGCAGGCGTAGCCCTATGGTGCCTCGGCTGGAGGCCAGGCCCGAGTTCACTGGTGGGGACCTCAGGCTCCCTTCCCTGATCCTCAGCGTTTGCTGCTCTTGTGGGCCGCATACAGCAGCCATCAGACCTTTGAGAAGGTGCTTGCTGCTGGGCGCAGAAGGGCAGTGGTGACCCCAGCCTCCCCCTCCGTCGATCGGTCCTCATGCTCAATTTTTTTGCTTTCAGGGCAAGTTTCTGGCTTTTTATCAGTATGCAAAATCATTTAATTCAGATGACTTTGATTATGAAGAGCTGAAGAATGGGGATTATGTCTTCATGAGGTGGAAGGTAAGGTCCCAGCCCAGCCAGAGCCTGCATTGTATCCAGCACCCCATCTGCTCCCCGGGTCCAGTGCTTCATTACAGTTTGTCTCCATGGAGTGCCTTTACACGCTCATAAAAAGCAGGCACAGCTCCAGGCCACACTGACCAACTGCTGCCATGATAGACGGTTTGTCTTTGGTAACACCGTTTGGTGGTTAGCAGATGAATTCATGGCTGGGGGCGAGGGCGGCGTGGTCGCCCTCAGCACCTTCGACTCTCCAGGTTGAGTCACCTCCGGTGTTCTCTGAACTCAGGGGAGGACCAGACTCGGGCTCCGTCATTTCCTACTCTCAGCAGAGAACCCGTCTTAAGTGGCTCTTCCCTTACCACGTCCTAGCCACCAAGCTTCAGTGCCATCTCAGCTTGTCTGGTTCCCTCCGGCAGGAAATGAGGGACCAGGAATGGAATTTGGGTTTTCCACTCACCAGCCTTCAGAGAACTCCATCTGGCTGGACTCGCGAGATTGGCTTTGGGCTGACAAGGCTTTTGTGTTCCCTCTTTTGATAGCCTGGTATTTACTGTGTTCCAGCCGCAGGCTAGCAAAATCATGAAGCGGGTTTGTGACATCACGCTGTGAACGGACACCCACTTCCAACCCCTGGTCCCCAGCCTGCAGGAAAAAGCTGTTTTATCTTGAAACCTTGCCAGCTTTCATGCAGGCGAATCATTTAGAGGAGTTATTCCCAATCTTTAGTTTGTACGGCTAATAATTTGGGGGGGCGGGGTGGGGGTCGTCACTTTTTGCAGAGATGCTGGCCAGGTGCAAAGAGTAAAAGCTGAGTCCACCCTTGCGAGCTTGCCACCTGGTGTTTGGAAATGTGCCAGCTAATAAAGTACTAAAGGAAGTATCTTGCAAGGTTCTAATTTTAAAATTAATTTTTAAAAACTAGCATTTCAGAGGTTGAAGAAAGGGACAGGGAGAGTGTCTTAAAAAACAAAACAACAGTGGAGTTGTTTGGTCTCCAAAGACCTTCTCAGCATGACTCACTGTGGGCTCTCAGTGGACCTCTTGGGGCCCTGAGGCCACTGACCTCATCTTCCTGGAAGAGTAGGTGCCCAGATGTGGCCTTTCAGCTTGGCCGTAGCCAGAGATCATAAGCTCGCCTCTTCCCAAGGTGCCCGAGCAAGATTAATACCGTTCTGACGGCTGTGGATGAGGTGTCGAGCTTTTTGAGGGGCTGTTACGGGAGCAGTTGGTGCTTGGTCTGCCCTCAGAATGCAGAGGCGATCAGGAACCCAGCACCAGTTCCTGGGGTGGAGCAGAAACTTCCTCTTCCTGGGTCGTTCTGTCTGTGGGCTCTGAAAGGTAGGTAGGTATCGATTCACTTTTGAGACGTGTGGACCGTAGAACCTTCTCTTTATTGCCGATCTCAGTGAGCTCAAGACACAGGCTACTGCATTAGTATCTAGAATGCTGTTGACAGATGGGGTTGAAACGCAGATGTCCGCCGTCGTCCAGCAAGCCTGGGCAAGGCCATGTGACACTGGAACCCGAGAACCACCTGAAGGCTAACGGGGAGCCCCAGACGTGGCGGGAGCACGCCGTCTGTTACTGACCTCCTCCGTCTGTGTGCAGGAACAGTTCCTGGTCCCAGATCACACGATCAAAGACATCAGCGGTGCCTCCTTTGCTGGGTTCTATTACATCTGCTTCCAGAAGTCGGCAGCCTCCATAGAAGGCTACTATTATCATAGGAGTTCAGAATGGTAAGGCACCCTGGAGGCAAAGGGGGCGGGTTGCTGCCCGGGCTCTCCCTTCACTTGCCGAATCCAAAAGAAAACCTCTCCCCCTGTCTCTGAGTAGCTTTTATGCTCTATCTGCATGTGGAGGGCCTCTCTGAATGATCTCAGCTGCCCATGGAGGGGCTCCTATCCCTAACCACAGAGCAGAGTAAATAAGATGAAACCAAAGTGCTCAATAAAGGAACTCACTGCTCAAAGCTTTCAAGCAGTTCTGTATTATCAGCAGTGTTTCTCCTAACCTTGGCTGCTCTTGTATTTCCTCCCAAATTTAATCAGTAACTACAATGTAAGCTCCAGCTATGGACAGGGTGAGTTTTGCTGTTAGCAGCCTTTCTAATTTTGTGGTCACATTCCTTAGATGCCGGCCCCACGCACTCTTGATCTCAGTCTGGTGACCGGGGGCCCCCATGGGAGCTGACGGTCCTACCCTGTGTTTCATCTGAGGTGAAAGACTGAGTGCCACTGCAAGCACTAGCTTTTGTCACCTTTCTGGGGACTCTCCTGCCCTGTCACTGCTGCTCCAAGCACCTTGCTGTACCTGAAGAAGGAACCCTATCACAAAATACCTGATTTCCTCTCCGAACATAGAAACACCGTATTCCCTTCCAGATGTTTTGTAGTTCGGTGACTTGCGAGTGATGCTTCCCTGGCTTGACTCAAGTTCCTTGTTCAGTGGCAGCAAAATGACATCTGCAAATAAATGCCTTTGGGCTCAGCGCAGTCTCCGCTCCCCTGAGAGCCACAATTACCAGGGTTTCAGTAATTGCTCTGTTTTCAAAGGAGTTTTTAAAACCTGTTATATCCTTTTTTAAATAACAGCGTTATTGAGAGAATTCATATACCATACAATTCGCTCATTGAAAGCGTACAGTTCGGTCGTCCTGAATATTCACGGTTGTGCAGCCATCGCCCCAATCAATTTTAAAATGCTTCCCCCACCACCACGAGAAACCCCGTTCCCCTGAACCCCATCCCCTCCTAGCCCGAGGCAGCCAGCCACTAACCGACTTCTATAAAGATGTGCCTATTCTGGATATTTTCTATAAAGGGAACCACACACACTATGAAGCTCCTTTGTGTCAGCTTTCTTACCCTCAGCCTAATGCTTAGAAGGTTCGGCCATGTGGCAGCATGGATCAGCCTTTCATTTTTATTGCTGAATAATTTTCCTTCGTATGGATGTACAGTAGCCCCTCCTTATCCGCGGTTTTGCCTTCCGCTGTTTCAGTTACCCACGGTCAGCCGTAGTCCAGAAGCGGGTGGTAGTCGGTGGTAGCCCACCACTCGGTCACACGCCTGCCTCACTCACCTCACCCTCATCCTCTCACACAGGCATGTTCTCACCTCCCATCCTCACAGCAGGAAGGGTGACTACAGCACAAGAAGGTCTTTTGAGACAGAGAGAGACCACATTCACGTAACTTTTATTGCCGAATATTGTTATAACTATTCTGTTTTATTATTAGTTCCTGTTGTTCATCTCCTACTGTGCCTAACTTATAAATTACACTTTAGCACAAGTTTACGCACATAGCGTCTATAGGGTTCAGTACTATGCACGGTTTTTGGCATCCACTGGGGGTACTTGAACGTATCCCCCACAGATAAGGGGGGACTGCTGTACCACATTTTATTTATCCATTCATCAATTGATGTGTTATTTCTACTTTCTGCCTATTGTGATTAATGCTACTGATTGTGTAAGTATCTGTTTGAGTTTCTGCTTTCAGTTCCTTCGGGCATATACCTAGGAGTAGAATTGCTGGGTCCTATGGTGGTTCTCTGACTTTTTAAGGAACTGCCAAAGTGTGTGATGCACCAGGGTTCCAGTTTCTCCACATCCTCCCCAATGCTTGTTATGATGTCTTTACGATTATAGCTACCCTCGTGGTGATGAAGTAGGGTCTCATGGTTTTGATCTGCATATTCTGATGGCTGATGCATTGTCTTGATTTTTCTTTTCTAAATTTTTTTGGGCTGAGAAACTGCTTTTTCCCATGCTCCTCCTCACTCCCATGTGAAACAAGTAAGGGGAGAGTTAGCATGTATCCCATGAACTCCGATTGTCCCCCAGGGGGTTATCATCCCTGTGGATTGTCCCCGCCTCTGTTTCTCCTTCATCTGCTTAACTCCTCAGAGCACCTCCCAACGGGGCAAAAACAAACACCTCAGAACTCTGATGCTCTCAAGCCTCATAGCCATGTCTAGGGAGGCGAGAAAATGAAGGTGAATGGTAACATAAGCTTCGGGGTTAGCTGGGAAGTCTCTGTATTCCGTGAGAAGTGGTGTGTGCCTCTGCTCCCCGTGCAGTCCTGAGGATGTTCCAGCCTGACGTTCCCCGAGGAGCTGAGGTGCTAGATGTCATAGAGAGGCAGAGTGGAGGGCAGGGGTGAGGCCCAGGGCCCAGGGCTTCGGTCCGCATCTTCTCCCAGAGCTTACTCTGCCTCTCCTTTCATAAGATGTACCATAACTGCCTCATGGTCAGAGCACGAGGCCTAAAAGCAGCTCCTCTTACACAGAGCTCAGGAGGATTAACCAAAGAACTAGAAAGAGAACCAAACATGGTGCAGCCGAAGAGGTCTGAGATGCACCCGCGATCCGGTTCCAGCCTGGGGCTCGCCGGGAGCTCCGGTGCTGGGGAGGGGGTTCTGCACCTCTGTTTGGTTTTCAGGCTGCTTAGACCGCCTCCCGTTTTCTCTCTCTTCCCGCACTGCAGGTATCAGTCCCTCAACCTAACTCATGTTCCTGAACACAGCGCACCCATCTACGAATTCCGGTGACAGCGGTTCAGAGCAGGAACCAAATAAAACTGAACTTGGCAAAAAAAAAAAAAAAAAAAAAATAGAACTTTGCCAAGAAAATTGTGTACCTGCCAGAACCAGGAGAACGTGTGTTCCTGTTTCTTCACGAGCAGATTCTCATCAGAAGGCATGAATGTTAACCCACAGAATCCAAGGAGCATGGCCAACCAGCAGGGCAGGCAGAGGGAGTGTTCTCTGTTCTTCCTCCCTCTCTGAGGCAGTTTGGTCTTAATCTGTTTTTAAGCTACCTTAAATGCACTTTTCCTTGCTGCACAGCTAACTTCTGTATCACCGAAAGGCCCATTCCTCCCTCCATCCCCATCTCCAACCAAGTAGAAGGTCAGCGCCCCCCAGTCACCCGCAGCCTTGGTGCTCAGTGGTCTCTGCCCAGGCCCCAGCCCTGCGCGCCGCCCCCCTCCCCCACCCCCAGTTGCTTAGTCTGGTAGCTCAAGAGAAGGCAGAGCCCCAGCACACGTGTGCCCCCCACCCCGAGCTCTGTGCAGGGAATCAGGGCGCTGCAGCAGCATCCGCCAATGAAACAGGAGGTAGAGGCTGCTTCGCGGGGTCACCTGGCGCTGCCCAGCCCCACCACGTTAGTCAGTGGCTGGCAGGTTTCCCTGGGCCCGCCATCGGGGATCACTGAATTTAAGGCTTCTGGATCCCTGGCAGGAATAGATTCCAGTCCTGCTTTACTCAGCACGTTTGCTCCAAACTTTTTGAACTTGAGGGCAATACTAAACTTAAAAAAAAAAAAAAAAAAAAGAAGAAGAAAAAAAAAAAAAAAAAAAAGTTTTTTTATTACAAAATTATTTTTATGGTCCCTTTAACAAGGACCCTATGGCAAATGCACAATTATTCAGAATTACATTTTATCGTTTTCACATTGAAAACAAATGTTGACTTAGTAATTTTTATACCTATATCTATATGTAAATGTATATTTAATCAACCAGCAGTTTCAAACTAGTCATCCTGGTACAAAAGTTTTGCAGCATTGCATCCATTCTAGTGCTAAACCTGAGAGCTGTTTTTGGGGCCAGTTTAGCATTTGTATCTCCTCCTTTTGCTACTCACAACAGCAGTGCTCCGAGATGACCTTCTCCATCAAAAGCAGACGGGGGCCGTCGTTCTCCTGAAACAGCGACTCGGAAATGTTGGGACGGGGAGGGGGTGGGAACGTGAACACGCTCGAATAACTCAAGGCTCACGTGCCAAAGTGTGTGTGTGGGTGTGTGTGGGCGGGGTGTAGTTTGGGGGGGGGTTGTTGTTGTTTAATGTTTTAAAAAGCTGAATAGGTTGGTATCAGTTGGGGTGTCGCATCGGCTGGCGGTTTACGAGACTTGCTCAGAATACAGGAGGGAGAGAGCTATAACCCACAGGAGCAAAACAGGCTGAAAGCTGCCTTTCCAGGGTCGGTGTAAGAAAACACGCGGCCCTTCGGTCTAGATGAGCGTTAGGGACATGGTGTATTCTTAAAAAGTGACTTTCCTTTTGACGACCTATGTACTGTACAGGACTGAGACTGAATGTCGGGGAAGCCTTAAAGGAGAGATATGCAGGAAACTAGTCAGAGGGTGCCGGGACACCTAAGGCTTTGGACAGAGGTGAGACCAACCCATCTAGGGAGGCCAGGGTCTTGGAGCCCCCAGAACGTTGCCCCAGTGACTGCAGTGGAAAAAGGATTCACATCCATTGGCGGAGCTGAGCCCGGTGTTTTATTCTGAAACTTCAAGCCATCCGGATGGCTTGCTCTGGTCACACCAGCCGATGGCACGGTACCAAGGAGACTGCGCTCACACGGCCGCCGTGTGGCTAGTGGGCGTCACGTGAGTAGAGGAGACAGTGGGCGACCGTGCTGGCTTCCCTGGGCTGCACGAGCCATCCATCCCCCGCCCCGTTCCCTTCTCACACCAAGCTCGTCAGTCTCGTCTGCATTTTGCAAGCTCTTTGAAGCCTAGTGGCCACACTCGGAACCCAAGGGGCGAGCTCACCCCCTGGAGCTCATCAGGACCCCGTCCATGTGGCTCTGGAGGTCAGTTGGTGAGTCCAGCAGGCAGGAAAGGACATTTGCAAACATTGCTGCTGTTCAGCTAGCCAGATGGGCCAGGTTCTATTGTAGGATTTCTTCCTTCCTTCCTTTTTTTTTTTTTTTTTTTTTTAGCGAGGTAATGAAGTGTACCAGTTGTATTGGGGAAAATGAAGAAGTGATACCTTTGCTAGATCTTTCGGGCGCATCTGTGATGAAGATTTGTTTGCGTAAAAATCTGCCCAGCTGAGGACAGGGAAGGCATTCTGCCCACCTCCTCTTAGTAATTCCCAAACAATCAACATCAACCCTTTTCTTTTCTCTGCGTCCCCAAATGAACTTTGGGGATCATCCCCCATCTGTGATGATCTTTTCCTGACCCTTCTTAGTGGTTTACGTGCCTCTGGTACTATGTGCAATAGTTTTGGTTGACGCTTGTATTCCCCGGAAGAAATCAGTGCAGGTTGCAGATTTTCTACCGTCTTCCTCCACTCCACACCAACCTGCCGTGAGGTGGGATCTTAGGGATCCAGCCCTTTGCTCAGAAAGCTTCCATTCTGCGCTTCCAGCCTTGTCTCTTCTCTTTGCTGGAACTATCGCGCCCATCCTTTCAAACTATACAGCATTTCAGCTGCAGTCCAAAAGCAAGCAATGCCTAATATGAAGTAGAAAGTCCCCTCTGTGTGCTGGTTCTGTTGGCAATGTGGAAATCACAAACTCCGGGGGAGCAAAGGGGCTTTTCAATGTCTTTTGCTTTCAGAAACAGGGAATTTATATTCTAAGGCCTTGAATTGAGGGGTGTTTTTTTTTTTTCCTCATAAAATAGTCTGATAAGCTAATTTAAAAAAAAAATGCCATTAAGTATGTTGCATTGTGGTTTAAAATTACTAACAAGTTCTGGGAAAGGAAAAATATTTGATTTTGAATCTTACATGTTTTTAAAAATTAGATTTGAATGGGCACAAAGTATGACTATTTTGTTCTTTTAGGGAGGACATGTGGAAAAGGTTTGAGGGTTTGGGATGGGAGAAGTATTTTGCAGAGCTATCAATGTCCAAATAATTTTTAAAAAAATAATAAAGGTATTTAAGCAGTGACTTTGTCCTATTTCTAAATCAAAACTGTTCTGTTAGAAGGGACGCCCCCCCCATGTCCTTATTCCTTCTCATTCCAGTGCTATCCACCTCTCCACACTGACATTTGAGCTCCGTTTTGTAAATTTCTGGATTTCTTTAAAAACGTGGAAGCTTTTGTGTTTTGTTTTGTTTTGTTTTGCATGTGTTCAGGACCTATACTTTTACTTCCCACACAGAAAATTCACAAACAAAACTCTGTTCACTGCTACTCAGTCGGGTGCCGGCACAGGCAATGTGGACGGGGGACCGGTCCTCAGAGGAAATGCCCGAGCCCCAAAGCTCTCAGGCTCCCGAGCGGCTGCACCAGCGGCCTCCTGCAGCCAAGTTCAGGCCCTTGACTTCTCTGCACCCTGTGGCCGAGGGCCCTAGCCCAGCCCGTTAAAGCCTGACTTTGATTTTGACACAGGACCCTGACTGGTGTGCCAGGCAGGACCTTGGTTCTCTTGTTAACAGTGTTAGGTTTCTGAACCACCTCCCTAGGCAGGGAAGGAACACGGCTGGAAATGCCCTGTGAATTTTTGAGACAATGTTTACAGTGTTGAAAAGGTTTAATGATGAGCGAGTTGGAAATGCTAAGGGAACTTACATCCGTGTCGGGGCCAAGTTCTAGCGTGTGTATAAAGTATCATCCGATCTCCCGTTGTTTGAGCAACAGTGCTAATAAACTCCTTTCTCCCGAGATGTGTCAGGAAAGGAATAGGCTGTTCACAAGGCCGAACTGATACAAGTGAAGACACCATTTACTGGTGGTTTTGCAGGGGGAGAAAGCTGTGGGACGCCTGGGTTCTCGCTCCCAGATCTCCCTTTAAGTCCTCATGGGACTTCCCATGTACCAGCCAAACCCTCTGAGCCTGGAGGGCGGAAGGAACAATCTTCGTAGGTCAGAGAGTTCTGGGAGGTGCTCCTGGAAGCACTTTTGAAACTGTAGAAACACCCCACACATGTCACACGTCATTCTTGCCGGATAATAATAGTACGGAATATTTGCCGAGGCTTGCCGTGTGCCCTGTGACATTCTAAGTTGGAGCAATGCAGAAACGCCGTGTGCACTGTGCCATTCTAAGTTGGGGCAATGCAGAAACGCCGTGTGCACTGTGCCATTCTAAGTTGGGGCAATGCAGAAACGCACTACACTCCCGGGCCTCGAGGAACTAATAGCCTGCAATAGAGTGGAAATTGGCATTCTGATCCCCAAAGCTGGCAAAACCCTCTTTCTTATCTCAGTGTTAGAGCCCCACTTTGAAACCTTAGTTGGCTTTTCTTTTAAGCCATCCATTGGAACGGTGGGAAGTGCGTGGACCGTGTGAAGCGTGAAACCCACAGCAGGACAGGACAAAGGGGAAATTCGAAATATCAACGCTGCCTGCATCAATCTCAACTGCACCTGAGGAGGAAAGTGTTAAAATTGCCCAGGACTGAAATAGGCAGCTGGCTGTGACACAGAAAAGTGCCTGAAGATTGGATTGCAATTGAGCAGCTTTTTCTTCTAGGTTTTTCTTCCAAACATCTAAAGATCAAAACTCCCTACTTGCACACAGCAAGCAAAACTTGTTAAGGCTTTTCATTTGTAGAGAAGCATAGGCTGAAATTCAAGTTCATTTTTGTGTTTCTTTTTTTTTTTTTTTTTTTGGTCCTTCTGATTCTTCACCTGGCCTCATCATTCGCAGCATTGGTACTCGTTTTCCTCTCCCTTTTTGCTCAATGAATAGCCCTCTCCCTCCACGCTTTCTTCAACTGGCACTGACTTGGAGCGCTGCTTCTCAAACCCGGTTGCACCTTAGAATCACCCAATTCACTTACAGTCCTTTTGCCCAGCAGCACCCCAGACCTGTTCTCTCACAACCTGCCGAGTGCCTTGAA